ACACACACACACACACACACACACACACACACACACACACACACACACACACACACACACACACACACACACACACACACACACACACACGGGCTTTAGGTTTATAATAACTTGCCTGAGATAGTTAACACCGATTAATAGTATTTTGTGTCTCTGTGTACTAAACTCGTAGTCTTCTGAAACATTCTTGTACCAGATACTAAATTTAAAAAAAAAATTATTTTGAGTTCCGGGAAAGAAGTAAAAGGAGGCCACATGGTTGAGCTAAGAATTCTAAAAGGTTTTCTGTAATAGTCATAATCTTTCTTCCCCAAAACTCAACAGACATTGACATTTGTGTCACTGCAATGCTTTTTGCCTTTTACAATTGTTAGTTGAAAACAAATTATTGATGAGATCTAATTTAATCACATGTAATGTAAAAACTTAAAAATGTTTATTTGATTGTACTGTGTAGTGATGCATGTAGTCTTAATGCAGAACTGTTTTGTTAGTTACAGAGGCTATGACTGTCGGAGTAATTTATTTTATACCCAGACTGGTGAAATTGTATACCATGTTGCAGCAGTGGGTGTAGTATACAATCGGCAGCAGAACACCCAGCGCTTTTATATGGGTCATGATGATGACATTCTGTGTCTTGCTATTCATCCTTTAAAGGACTATGTGGCAACAGGCCAGGTAGGATTAATGTTTAGGGAACTAGAATTCCAGTGTTATTTTAGTGGGCCTATAACCGAATATGTGTCATAGTATGTATCACTTAAAAGCATTTGATCGAAAAATGTTATGTAAGCTTGTAGTGATGCTGTATTGCATGTGTCATTACATTTTCCTGCAGGAAATGCCACGTTTTCTTTTGTAAAGAGGAGTATCATATAGTAGTGTTGGAATTTCTCCATGTCATTGCTTATAAAGTAGCTATATATGAAATAATGCTGAAGCAGGTGCATGTACATAGTCTTACAATATGTCAGTGCTTCCATTTGGACATCAGTACTGCTGTTAGCCAGTGGGCTAATTCCTCTGGTTTATTTTTATAAATGGAAGACATTTTTGTTTTGATGAAGAAGTCTTGCTTATGGATGCTTCTACTGATGGAGGAGGAGAAGCAACCCCATTTCCCCTCTGCCTCTCTTACTACCTTTCATGCTCTTCTGGAAGTCAACCAACCAATTTTTTTTATGGACTTATATACCGCCCCATAGCGCTACAAGCACTCTCCGGGCGGTTTACAATTTAATTATACAGGCTACACATTGCCCCCCCAGCAAGCTGGGTACTCATTTTACCGACCTCGGAAGGATAGAAGGCTGAGTCAACAGCCTAGTGTTTATAAAATACCTGAAGTGTACAGGAGTATTCAGAATCATAACTAGAAAGTACGTGATGCAAATAATGGCAAAATGTGATTTTGAATGTTTTATAGAAATACTTTAAAGCTAAAAAGGGTTCATTTAAAAGCAAAACAAGGAAGTACTTAAGATATTAAGTAGAAAGGAGGACAAACATTGGGAAAGCATATCTGGTGATATGACAGAGATAAGAATTTTGTTATAAGCATAGAGAGTATAATATCATGCTTTATAAAAAAAATTGCACACCAGCAGTGCCCCTTTTACTTCACCTGTTCATGATTATTAATAATATATGTTGTGATACTAAATGGATCTTGACAATATTAGGTTGAATACAGATATTCATTGTATATTAATGTAGACCACTTGAAATTAGTGGGAAGAATCCTCTTCATTGACTCCAAGCAGTTAGATTCCTTCAGAATTTGATTGCAGAGATTTGAGTATTTCCTTGTGCAAATGTAAGCAGTTTTGATTTCAGTGGAGCAATCTCCTGCTTCTTCAATTGGAAGACAAGAAGCTGTGGAGGTAGAATTTTACACTCCACCCAACATCACCTGGATGCTGGTCATTGGGTCTACCCTGAGCATGATCAAACCTGAATCACACCATTTTTGTCTAATGTTTAAAAGATAAAAACAATTCTGAAATCATTGACCAATTAAGCCTTATTTAAGGAGTTTATAAATCCAGTATCTTCAGCACCCTTAAAGGAGATGATATAACCACTATATTCTCTGTCATCACTTTCTTTATGGACAGAGGAGGCAAGAAGCTTGTGTAGAATAGAAGTCCCTACTCATGTTTAGGGTTAACATATGTACAAGAATCCTGGAAAAATCTGGTTCTTGCTTACTTGCTGAGCCTATGTACAAGCAATGTGTGAAGAAAGTGATGACAGAGAAACTGTATTAACAGGAAACTGTATTAATTCACACCTGAAAAGGTCTTTAAACATGGAAATTTTCTCCAAAAATTATTGTTGTTGTATGTCGTCAAGTTGCTTACATTATGGTGACCTACGAAGCAGTTGCCTTTGAAAGGTCTTGTCATTTATAGTCCTGTTCAGCTCTTGCAAGCCAGGGCCATGGTTTTAAAACTTGCAAAAATTGGATTTCTTTAGAAGAAATTAGCTGGATTTAAGCAGAATCCCAGTACTTACGATCTCTGCTTCATATTATGGCATCTAGTAAAAAGTGGTAAAGGCAAGTCTGAAAACATACCTGCAGACTTTTCAGATCTGTTGATAGAACTTGATAATATAGGTAGAATTGACTTAAGATATTAAGTAGAAAGGAGGACAAACACTGGGAAAGCATATCTGGTGATATGACAGAGATAAGAATTTTGTTATAAGCACAGAGAGTACTGAATTTAGGCTAAAATCAAAGACTGCTAGTGTGACCCAGCAAGTATATACTAAAATGTAAATAAGGATTAGGTATGACAAAGAGATCTTCTGTAGGTTTACTTATGCTTGTATATATAAAGCTAACAACTGGAAGAGGAAAGAACTCATTACTCTATTTTTAATCATATTTTCTGTGAAGATCAAGATCCAATTATGTGCTTTGGAATCCAATGGACTTTCTTCTTTACCACTCCTGTCCTCCTTTGTGTCAAAGACTTTGTTATAGAGAGTTTCCTAGACTTCCAGAACAGAACTGTTATGTTATGTGGGGGAGAGATGGACTGTAGGAGGAGGGTGTGTGTGTACTACTAATTCAGCTGGAAATAGACGATTCAGCAGAAGTGTACCACAGAATCCTGGTCATTGTATCCAGATCTGGAGAGTGTTATAAACATTTGAAAGAAAAGTGAAAACTGAAATATGTTATTGTTGTTGTTTTTGTTAGTCCACTTGGGTTTTCATTTTAACAATGATGTAATTTTATATTTAAGTTAAAATTATTTTGAAATATGCCTATATTCATACAGGAATTAATGAGTTTAATCTTTTTTGTTTGAGGTTGGTCGGGATTGCTCTATCCATGTTTGGGATACAGAGACAATCAAGCCACTGTCAGTGTTAAAGGGCTATCACCAATATGGTGTTTGTGCTGTTGACTTTTCAGGTATTTATGACCAGTCATTTATTTAAATTTAAAAAAATTTCAAATGTGATACAGCATGCTTGATCTATTTTGAGTATTTCTCTTTAACACTGGTAGATGTACAACTGAATATTTTGCTCTTATGTGTAATGAGAATCAGATATTTAAAAGCTATCCTTTAACACCTTATAATTGTGCTTTTGCTGTTGTACAGTCACACCTGCACCTACACATCAGTCAATCATGAAAGACAACAATAAACCATTAGATTTATGTGATGTACTTTCTCTTCAGCTACAAACCTATGAGAGCATGAACATTTTGTTCTATGATCTCCACTACAATATTTCCATTGCTTTCTTGATGGATGTGTTTAATACATTCTTTCTGATTGGAATCCACAACTTTTATTTTCAGTACCTTTGTAATATGTTGTGGCTATCATAAGAATAGTATTACTTGGCAGACCACTGCCAAGCGGGTTGAGGCAAGTCAATAATAGCTCCCTGCAAAATGAAGATATCAAGATCAGAACAGACAGTGTTCCTCAGGCACATGCTGATTTTTATACTGTCATATATTTTCAAATTGTGATAGCTTTCTGTATTCAAATCCAGTGAACCTTCTTCTTTGATTAGGAGCAAGAGTTCTAGAAATTCTGGCTAAATTTCTTGTCAACTTCTTATGTTCAGTTCAGTTTATTAATACAGTCAATAACCATCTCTTTCATGAGATTTACGAGTGTTACAATAGGTTAAAATATTTGAATTATTAGATAACTAGACAAGATGAACTTAAATGATATAAATTTATTTTAAGTTACCTGTTACAGATTAAAATAGATATTGTTAAAAATTTTAAATGTTGCATAGAATATATTTATGGCTCTTACACACAACTGCAACAAACAAACAAACAAACATGCACAAAGAGCTATAGACTGCACAAGCTTCCCAACAACATCAATATGAAAGCTGCCAAGAAAACAGCTAAGCAAAGGAAAAATAAATTTAGCACTTAATTTTTAGTAAAATCAGCAAGAAAACATTCCATATTAGCTCTTTATGTAGATTGAACTGGATAGCTTAATGGTTTAGGTATCTGGCTGTGGAGCCAGAAGTTGGGAGTTCAATTCTCCATTTATTTAGTTATTTAATTAATTAAATTGAAAAGCTCCAAAAACATCCTCTCATTTACACCCTTCTTAGGAGTTGTAAACTAAAGGTCACAACTTTAGTAAATAAATAACTTCCTTATTGAGTCATTCCACCTCATGTTTGATATTTTTTCCCCTTTTGCCTTCCACTCTTCCTAGCATTGTTGTCTTTTCCAGTCAATCTTGTCTTCTCATGATACAATATTATTGTGTATAATAGCCTCAATTTAATCATCTTAGTTTCTAGTAAGAGTTTAGTCTTCATTTACTTTAATCATAATTGTATGCCTCAGGTCAAGTCTGACATATGGTGACTGTTTCCAAGGTTTTCTAGGTGGAGAGTAGTTGTAAGTGGTTCTCTTCTTCTGAGGACATCTTTGGGTTGTGCACTTGCCAAGGGCTACACAGGTTGGCTCTTCTTTTGGGAACTCCCAGTTTTTGGCTCCACAATCAGTTACCTAACTCACTTCTTCCTGGTGGTCAATTGTATCCATAAAGCTGTCCCTGAACACAATATTTTGATTTTTTTTCCCTGGTGGCTTTTTCTGCTGTCCAAATTTTACATCCGTACATAGAACTCAGGAATGTTATAGTATGGATTATAGACTTGCTGCCTTGTCATGGCGAAGGGGCTTGAGTAACTCAGAGAAGCTATGGGCTATGCCGTGCAGGGACACCCAAGACGGACAGGACATCGTGGAGAGTTCCGACTAAACGCAATCCACCTGGAGTAGGAAATGGCAAGCCACTCCAGTATCTTTGCCAAGAATGCCCCTTGATCAGAAACAAAAGGCTAAAAGATATGACACTGGAAGATGGGCCCCTCAGGTCGGAAGGCGTCCAACATGCTACTGAGGAAGAGTGGAGGACAAGTACAAGTAGCTCCAGAGCTAATGAAGTGGTTGGGCCAAAGCCGAAAGGATGCTCAGCTGTGGACGCGCCTGGAAGTGAAAGGAAAATCCAATGCTGCAAAGAAAAATACTGCATAGGAACCTGGAATGTAAGAAGGTGTGATGGCAAGAGGAGAAGGGGACGACCGAGGATGAGATGGCTGGACAGTGACTGCGAAGCAACCAACATGAACCTGACACAACTCCGGGAGGCAGTAGAAGACAGGAGGGCCTGGCGTGTTCTGGTCCATGGGGTCACGAAGAGTCGGACACGACTAAACGACTGAACACACACACACACTCTATACATCTGTACATTTAAGGCTGAACCTGGACAAGATGGAAGTCCTGAGGGTGGGTAGCCCAGACATCGATGGTTTGGGAAACTCCCTCACTTTTGGGGGGGTGACTCTCACCACAAAGACTGAGGTTCACAGCTTGGGGGTACATATTGATCCAGTGCTTACCATGGAAACCCAGGTAGCGTTAGTGGTCCGCACCACCTACTTAGATCTTTGGTGGATTGCCCAGCTGGGTCCCTATCTTGATATCAGGGCCCTCACCACTTTGGTTCATACGCTTGTCTCGAGATTAGACTACTGTAATGCGCTCTGTGTGGGGCTACCTTTGAGACTGATGCGGAAGATTCAAATGGTGCAGAATGCGGCAGCCAGATTTCTTACTAGGGTGAGAAAACATCAACATATCTCCCCCACTCTGGCGACATTGCATTGGCTACCTGTTCATTTTTGCATTCATTTCAAAGTATTAATGATGACATGTAAAGCCCTGAATGGTTTGGGACCTCAATATCTGGCGGAACGCTTTCTCCCACCTAGATCTACCTGTATCACTCACTTTAGGCAGGAGGGGTGGCTGAGGGGCTTAATGCCAAGGGAGGCCTGAAGAGAAAGAACAAGGAATTGGGCCTTCTTGGCAGTGGCCCCTCAGCTCTGGAACAATCTCTTCCCCCTCCCCCCAAAATTTGTCTGGCTCGCTTGCTGGGCGTTTTTAAGAGCCGACGTAAGACCTGGCTTTTAAGACAGGCCTTCCCTCATATTGATACCTAACTTATTTCGCCATCCTCTAGTGTATTAATATTGTTGTTTTATTTTATTTTAATATTGTTGTTAGCCGCCCAGAGCAGACTTCGGTCTAAATGGGCGGGATATAAATTAAATAACTAACTAACTAAATAAATAAATTTAAGGATCCCTTCTTGCTCCTTTATTGCTGCCCTTCCAGATCCTCACACTTCAATATAATTTAATAATAATCTTAGAACACCAGAGCTGGAAGGGACTCTATGGATCATCAAGTCCAGCCCCTGTCAAGGAGGATCAGGGAGGAATCGAACTGCCAACAAAACCACCTAGCTATCTAGCAGTTCTCATATAATTAATATAATGTGCTTGTCTACTGTTTAAATATTCTTCATTACAATTTAATCACAGTCTGTTCCCAAGGAAAAGTAATCCAAGAGTTTCAGTACCTTTTTATCCAGAAAAAAAGCACTGCTTGTTGGCATATACTTGTTACAGTTTTGATATGTCTTTGTATCTTGAAATAGCTCTATTGGTATTCTAGTGATTGATATTATTCAGTCAGATTGTGCATTATAGCCCTTGACTGCTTGTGTTATATCTTGCCTCACTGTAACAGCCATACTGTTTCTTCTAAATTTATTATTTCCACAGTAAAACTCGTTACAGTTATCTGATGGAAAATGCCTTATTTCTGTTTAGTTCTACCACAACTAATATGGCAACATTTAGATAGATGTTCTTTTTACAGCTGATGGAAAACGGCTAACCTCAGTTGGAATAGATGACAATCATACTATTGTTCTCTGGGACTGGAGAAAAGGAGAGAAGCTTTCAGCAGCAAGGTAGAAGTTAATTATATATTGGAAGAAAAGAAATAAAACTGTATTATATTGATTTTTTTTTGGTTCGAGACACTTACTCAGTAAATGTTTGCATGTATTGCATTGCTTCATCCTTTCTATTACATTTGCAGAAAAAAATAGAACATAAACTCAAGCTTTTGAAAATTAAATTGATCTTTTTTTTTTGTTTTCCTGTTTTTCCTATTTCATGGAATTATCTCTAAGTACTTCAGAAGACATTGACCAGAATCCTGTCGCTTGAGGCAGTAACACAAGGACAGTTGTGCAAGCGATCTTCCCTGTTTCCTAGGCTGTAGTTGTTGTGTACCTGGCTTTTTCTTGATTGCACATTGTGCATCCAGTTCACCTCCTAGTGGTTAAGTGGAGATTGACTTGTGTGTACAGAAAGATTCAGTAGGATTGTGACTCCTTGGGTGTTGCGTGAAGATCTTGTTTTCTCTTAACTTTGTTGCCTTTGATAAAAACGTCTTTCCATATCAAACTAAAAATATTTGGTATTTTATTCTAGGGGGAGCAAAGACAAGATCTTTGTTGTTAAGATTAATCCCTTCATGCCTGATAAACTCATTACAGCTGGAATTAAACACATGAAATTCTGGCGAAGAGCAGGTAAAAATAGTAAAACATTGCTGTATTATTTGGAAAAAACATCCTAATTATCATTCATCAGAATATGCAATGGCTGAACAAGGATGCCCGATTCTGTGGACATTTGTGTTACAGATAAATCATATAAAAATATTACCATATGTTTTATAGGTAGAGGAAGTAAAAACAAATAATCAGTTAAATGTAATTCATTGGATTAAAATGTATAATGGGTTTGATTTTGAAATTGTTCTGCATGGTCTTTTAGAAGATTATGTTCAGTGGATGTGTAGTAATTTTTTGTCTCCTCCCCCTTTAACTTAAGGAGGTGGTCTGATTGGAAAAAAGGGCTATGTGGGTCCTATGGGGAAGATTGATACAATGATGTGTGCCGTTTATGGCTGGACAGAAGAGATGGCCTTCTCCGGAACATCAACTGGAGATGTGTGTATATGGAGAGATCTGTTCCTTGTAAAGACTGTAAAAGCACATGATGGCCCAGTGTTCAGTATGCATGCACTAGAAAAAGTGAGTGATGAATACTAGTTGAATACAAATGATAATGCTTTTGTTCAAAATTGCTTTAAGAATGCTTAAGAGCTTTGGCAAGCCTCAGGGTGCCTTTCTTTCTTTCTTTCTTTCTTTCTTTCTTTCTTTCTTTCTTTCTTTCTTTCTTTCTCAAATTTAACTTTCTATGAACAGGTTTGGCAAATGCATCTTAGTAACATTGTTGATGGGAAGCAATCATAAAATGATATGTAAGGCAGGCCCATTCACATTTGCAGGGTTCAAGCGAAACTGTAAAAAACTGATAAATATTTCAGTAGCAAATAGTGCCATTTTTTTCTTTAGGTTCTCACAAATATTTGATGCTTGCTAATTTTATCCTAAAGAAATGACTTTTCTTTAAATGCAGGTATGAGCAAAATAAAACATGTAGCATCCCAGGGGCCTAAAAGGGGCCTTAACGCCCTATAATTTTATTTTATTTAGTTGGTTGGTTTTGTTCAAAATGTCCTCTTATGTCATTTAGAAGGCAAGCATATACCCTGTTTCCCCAAAAATAAGACCTAGTTTGAAAATAAGCCCTAGTATGATTTTTCAGGATGCTCATAATATAAACCCTACCCCCCCCCCAATAACCGCCAGTTAAGTGAAACCCTGCCCTCCCCTATTGTGCAGAAACCAGAAGAAGATGACATGATTGTATTAGAGTAAATGTAGATTGTTGTACATGAAAAAAATAAAACAACCCCTGAAAATAAGCTCTAATGTGCTTTTGGAGCAAAAATTAATATAAGACCCTCTCTTATTTTCAGGGAAACATGATATTTGCCTGTTTTCGGCCCATAGCATTCTAGGGTCTCCCTATTTTTATTTTTTTTTCAAAGACCACTAAAACTTATGAGAAGCTTCATCTGAACTATGCATCTGGGAATATTTTTTTCTTTGTGCTTTGGAAAAATATTCTTATTGCTACATGTCTTGATGTTTAGGGGCAATTTAAGCATCAGAGAATCACAGAGCTGCACTCATGCTACTGTAGCTGCTGCCGCTGTCGTACTTAGCGTTGGCTTATTAACCTCACTATCAGTGTTTGAAATAGCTTTATTCTATACAGAAAAAGGTTAGTTAGTGAACCAGCTTTATTTAATGCGTCAGCTTATTACAGTGATCCCGCCAACCTAGTGGTTCGAAAGCATGCAAATGCAAGTAGATAAATAGGGACCACCTCGGTGGGAAGGTAAACAGCGTTCCGTGTCTAAATCACACTGGCCATGTGACCACGGAAAGATTGTCTTCGGACAAAACGCTGGCTCTATGGCTTGAAGAGCGGGATGAGCGCCGCCCCCTAGAGTCGGACACGACTGGACAAAAATTGTCAAGGGGAACCTTTACCTTTATCTTATTACAGTTATTTTGATTTTCAAAGCATCCATGATAGTTTATGAATTGAAAAATGAACTAAAAAAATAAAATCTTATATGGGGTGCAGAGTTCCTGTTTTTTCATTTGAATTAAGGAAATGTACAAATAACTTTATTATTTGACAAATCAATCAATAAATTCATTATTTAGTACTATTTATTCATTGAAAAGTAATTTGAAAAGTTAATTAGCTTTGGCAGTATTTTTCCCACTTTGGCCCCGATCATTGGGAGTGCAGCCCCCATGATAGCAGCCAAGCTGGGCAACAGGCCTCATGCTGAAGTTGCACATCTCTCTTGTAATGCCTAAGGATGTAGCAAGCCTGAGGTCAAACATTATGAGAATAGGGCTAAACATTATATAAATGTATCTGCCAAAACATGTTGTTTATTTTTGCTTGTTTGTTTGTTTTGGATGCTACCCTATAATAGAAAACTCCCTAGAACTAATGGTATTGTCCTTTGAATCTCCTGTGATTTACTGGAGTATGATTGTAATAGGAGTGTCTTTTATAGGTGTGGAAATCAGCAGGTTTGATTATCAGTGCTTAAGCCTATATAAATTTATCTTTGATGTTCACAGTTCTCTTGAATTCAGTCCAGTTTACATTCAGCATATTCAGTGGTAACAGTTACAGAAATCGTCTTTAAAGGTGCAGAAGTGGGACAAAAGACAAACAAACTGAAGTGAAGCGAAGCACTGATGTTGGCAATACAGTACAATAGTTTTCCTATTTTCTAATGTTTTCTATTTATTTGTTTTCTAATTTTTAAGGGATTTGTGACTGGAGGCAAAGATGGAATTGTGGCTCTTTGGGATGACACCTTTGAACGGTGTCTCAAAACATATGCAATCAAAAGAGCTGCCTTGGCTCCTGGCTCCAAAGGTAATTTGAAGATCTATTTACTTAATTTGTAGTGCATCAGTTTTAGCTTACAGTGCAGACCTTTCATAAAAACAAGGAAAGAAGATGATTTCAGATTAGAACAGTTCATTTAGACCTTGCAGTAATCATCAGATAAAAGGTCAAGAATGGAAAAGAAAAATTCCTTATGTGTCTACTCATGTATTTCTATTACAAATGAACAGCAGAATAATAAATGCACCAGTGAGCAACAATGATGCAGTTTTACTTATAAACATAATTTGATTGCCTTTAATACTGAATTCTTATATATTAATATTCCCTGTTTAGGTCTCCTTTTAGAAGATAACCCTTCTATCCGTGCCATATCTTTAGGACATGGTCATATTTTAGTAGGGACAAAAAATGGTGAAATACTAGAAGTGGATAAAAGTGGGCCAGTAACTTTGCTGGTTCAGGTAAGTGTAAATATTAACTAGAAACTTCTGATTTGTAAAAAAAATACTTTAGATTTTGAAGTATTAAAACATGCTTTTAGAATAGTGCTTCACCCTCAGTAGTATAAAATACCAGCAAATAAAGATAAGTATGATAAGCTTGTGACTGTGTATACACATAATTTAATTTAATATGATTTGATTTAATATGATTTAATTTAATGTAGTCAATTAGGCTTATATCTCACTTTTCATAAACTCCCAGGAACAATATTAAAATAGAGTACACAATATAACACAGTAAAATAGAGTACTGTACATTTGTCCCCTTGATAAATTGTCCAGGTGTGTCCGACTCTAGGGGGCAGTGCTCATCCTGGTTTCCAAGCCAGAGAGCCAGTGTTTGCCCATAGACAGTTTCCATGGTCATGTGGCCAGCATGACTAGACATGGAACATTGTGACCTTCCCACCATGGTGGCACCTATTTATCTACTCACATTTATGTGGTTTTGAACTGCTAGGTTGGCAGGAGCTGGGACAAACGACGTTGCGTGGAATTGAACTGCTGATCTTTCAGCCTTGCAGCCCAGGGGCTTTGCGGTTTAACCTGCAGCGCCACCATGTCCCTAATAGAGTACATCACAAAACAGTATTAGTAAAATAAATAACTGTTTGAGAGATGGAAGCACATATACAGGTGAGATCCAGTCACCTCCCATCATCTTAGAACTGCAGAGCTGGAAGGGACCCTATGGATCATGGAGTCTAGCCCTTGTCAAGAAGGCCCAGTGGGAAACTGAACTCCCACCCTCTGGCTCCCCATAAAGGTAAAGCTAAACCAATGGGTCTCATCTTAGTGTCAAAAAGCTAGTCAAATTAGAAAAAGTATATCTCTTGTAGTAAAACAGTTGGAGTGCTAAATTAGGATTAGTGAAACCAAGCTTCAGATTTCAGTTGGCTATGGAACTTGGAGCCATCACTCTCTCTGAGCCTCACTGCCTTTGGGGTGATGTTGTAAAGATAAAAATATGTTCAACCCTAAAATGAAGAATAGAATGCAATTAGCATTTCCCCCTCAAGGAACATTAACAGTGAAACAAATTACTCTGTTTCTCCATAGCGGGTACATGTCTCTCAAGTCTCAAGACAATGGAGGAGGGCTTGGGGGCTGATTTGAGCAGGTGAAAAATTGTGAGGGAAAGGGGAAATTCTGTTATGTGAGCACAATTCCACTTTGGCAATGTTGGGTATACTCCATGATCGTTGCCAGTATGACTGATCCGGTTTTCTTCTTCCTTCTTTCCTGTATTTTAAAAAATAACTTCTTTATTCTGTTTTGTAATATAGCAAATGAAATTGAATCTGTTTCTGCAGGGTCATATGGAAGGAGAAGTTTGGGGTTTAGCTACTCACCCTCATTTACCTATTTGTGCCACTGTCAGTGATGATAAAACCTTAAGAATATGGGATCTCTCTCCAAGCCATTGCATGCTAGCTGTTCGGAAACTGAAGAAGGGTAAGATTTAGTTTGCTTGTTTGTTTACCTAATCTTATAGAGATCTTTATGTTTACAGTAATTAAATTCTAATAGACTTAAATAGACAACTGTTGGTTTGTCAGCTTTTCGGACAGAAACAAGTTCAAAAGACTTAAAAAATTTTAAATGTTGTAGGTAAACGGTACTGAGTTTGAGATGCAGTTTGCCTTGGAGGAGAGAATGGGTAAATGCCAGACTGAAAACATTAACTGTTTTACTGTTATTGTATAAGAATGTGTCAAGCAGCAAATAACACATGTTTCAAAGAAATAACACCAGGAATATGTTTTAGTGAAGGAATGTGTATGTTATTATAATTTTAAAGAGTTCTATTCTGTACTTTAGAGGAGTTTCCAGAATGGTAACAGTTGTTGTTACTGAATAGCAAAATTGTTTCCTTCCATTTGAAGCTGTCAAGCAAGAAGAGATGGTAGTCCCAGGATGTAAAATGGGTATCAATACTTTATTCAAAGATGAGCCCAACACGTTTCAGCTATTGCACTTTTAGCCTTCTTCAGGGGCTATAATATAATAAATAAAACAGAAAGAGCACATATATGAGCTACTCATTTGACTGGGACAACATATAAGACATTTTAGAAAACATTTTGTGCTAGCATTAATGCATTAATATAATTGTAATAGTTTACATTAAGTGTTAAAAGTGATTTACAGGAAGAGTAACAATTATTTATGAGTAAACCTAAGAAGTCAGGTTACATACCACTGATATTATGCTTATGTAGAATTTGTCTCTGAGGATATTTTGTGGACAATCTCTCACTCCTTTTTGGATAAATGGTGCCCTGCCGGCAGAAGAACAGTTTTATAAATAAAAGACTACACAGCTGTGTACAAGGTCGAACTAGCATGTTAGCCTTCCTTGGCTAATTACCCTTCGAAAATTACCCTTTGAAAATGAGGGAAATAATATGAAACTACAGCAAGGGAATATAGTTTGTATCATCACTGAGACCAGAAGGAGATAAAGAATTTAACCTTAAAATCCAGTCAGTTTCTTTTTTAAGAAAAGCCTTTTCATTATGTATGAGGACAACTTCTAGGATCCAGAATTTTAGATCTCTTTCTTAATGGTTATGCTGAATAAAGTGACTTACAAGGTGTGGGAAGCTTCTGCCCAGGGCTGCTAGCTGTTATCTGTTTTCAGTGAGAGCAAACTCTCCTGGCAGAGAAGTCGCAGTTGCCAGCGGGCGGGGTAATTTATTCATTCTGCCTTTTCCGTTAGAGTTAGAGCATAAGTTCAAAGACTTTCTCCGGCCAATCCTAAGTGGCGATTAGGTAACTAGTGTCCTATCTGAATTCTTTCAATATTCTGTGTAATTGTGCTATGTTAATGAAAAGAGTTCTCAGGGCATCTCTTGTAACTCAGCTGGCTCGGACATCTGTTGTAGACCTTTGTTTTTTCTCTCTCTGAAGGCTAATTGCCCTCCCTTTGTTCTGTGATCACCCACATCATTCCTTCTTTTGCTCAATGGTCACCTACAACAAGGGGAGTTCCAATTTTTTTTGTTTCTGATATTGCTTATGCGTTCCTCTATATGAATTTTAAAGATTTTAAGTCTAGATGTTTTTCCCACATAGTTTGTTGCAAAGACACCTGGTAGCATAAATTACCCCTTTAGTGTTGCAGTTCGTGAATTTGGTTAAGGTATATCTTTTGCTGTGTTGAATATCTTCCGTTTGAAACCAAATTATGTCTCTATATTTGTAGGGGGGAGATGTTGCTGTTTTTCTCCTGATGGAAAGGCATTGGCAGTAGGTCTCAATGATGGAAGTTTCTTAATAGTGAATTCAGACACTCTGGAAGATCTTGTTTCTTTTCATCATAGGAAGGATGTTATTTCAGAGATACGTTTTGCTCCTGGTAAGTCATCACTTTCACGTTAGATCCGCCTGAGTTGATTGTTCTTGGGTTGGTAGATACATGTTTCTTAATGCTGCCTGGAGATGCCAGGGATTTGGACTTTTTGCATACAAAGCATGTGCTCTACCATTCAGTTGTAGCCGTGCCCAGGGAACACTCTGCTACAAGTTATTTGTTTTAACCATCCAGTGAGCACTCTGCTACAAATTATTTGTTTTAATCATTAATAAAATTAATTTTAGAATATTGAAAAGATAGTATTGGTAGGTAAAAGAAGGAACTTCAGATTTGGGGAAATATTTTGTGTGGGATATTAATAGGATTGTGTAATTTGTTAGTGCAGTCTTATATACGACATTGTATATGCTTTTTTTGAACAAATTGCCACTGAATTTGATGGGTTTTGTCCTTAGGTTAGCATGTTGTAGCCTGTGTGTATTTTAGAATTGTAGTCTCTCTCTGTGTGGCAGTAGATGCAGTCTGGAATCCTATTAACTAATGTAGACTATTGCAAGTCAAGTGGCATAAATTGCAGTGACAAATTGCCACAAGAGGAAGACACTTGTATTATGTGACTAGTAATTGATGAAGAATAAAAGTCTTGACTTATTCACTAGCAGCAGTTTGGTGTAATACTTGACACCATTTTGCTTAATTTTACCATATGTAAGTAATGTATCTGGATCTGCAGTCCTGACCACATTTCATCTGGTTTTGTTAGTGCAAATCTTTGCATATTTTCTGTACAGAAAGGCATCATTTTGTCGGAATTATGCCTTCTTTCCCCATTTTTCCAAGTAAAACTGAATTAGTGAAATGAAATTAGCAAAGATTTCATGAAGAACTGCTGGATAGCTTAATGGTATAGGCATCTGGCTGTGGAGCCAGAGGTTGAGAGTTCAATTTCCCAGTGTGCCTCCTTGATGATCCATAGGTTCTCCTTCAGCTCTGATGATTATATTAATAAGCAGTAAATCAGGTTGTTTAACTGTCAAATACTGAAAATCTATCTCCTTACTGTTATGTTTTAGGTGCTGGGAAGTACTTGGCTGTAGCATCATATGACAGTTTTGTAGATATTTACAATGTAATGAGCAGTAAACGAGTTGGAATCTGCAAAGGAGCTTCCAGTTATATAACGCACATGGACTGGGATATAAGAGGTAAGAATTGCAGCTGCCACAAAGCAGAGAAGCTGAAATCCTGTTGCTTGGCATAGCAAATTGGACTATAGTAGATCTGTTGAATAAGTGGGGATTTATTGAGTCATCTCTTCTATAAGTTTATTTATTTATTTAGTCTCATTTATAAGCTGCCTTTTTCCACATAAGAGGACACAAGGTGACTTATCAATGTTCAATTGATGCAAATGATCTAATTGCGGCTAACTTTAGCATAGTAATTTTAAGCACAGGATTTTGGCCTAGAGCTTATAAACTGTTAATTGAATATCAAGAATGTAATAAAAATATAGTTTTTCTGCACTGTTTCCAAAGGAATGGTGACTTTTGGGTAGAGTGGGTGGCATATAAGTTAAACAAACAAACAAACAAACAAATGTTAGGATATCCTTGGTCTAAAGAGATGTTAGGCTAAAAGTTCCTAAAGAGGCAGAGAGAAGGAGAAATAGTAAGATATCTCCTAAATATCTGTAATAAATGAAATAATTGATATAATTTAATTTTTAATTAGTGAACTTTTAAAATTGGTAAACATTTTTCCAGGCAAGCTTTTACAACTCAACACTGGTGCTAAGGAACAATTGTTTTTTGAAGCTCCTCGAGGGAAGAAGCAAGTAATTTCTACTCTGGAGGTAAGGAAATAAGATTCAATCACCAGATTGGAAATATCTACATTAGCTTTACACTTTTCCATGATTTTGAAAATATATTTTCTGGAAAATGTCATTGAAGAAGAAAAGGTGTCATATATTATTCGCTTCATTTCGTAAGTTGGTGTTTTGATCAAATGTTAAGAATGTTCAACCATGACCCGCCCCCTTTTTTCCCCTCTTTTTTTAAAAATAGCATTTCTTGGTAAGAGCTTACCTCTCTTCTTTCAGTTTTATATGATGCTCCATAATTTTTGGCTGGTTATCTCAAATATTAACTATCTACATATAAGTAATAACAAATTAATTATATATACTGGACATGTAATACCCAGAAATGAAATCATGGGATTTTTCAGGCTATGCAAAGTATGAACAGATTATATATATATGATCAGTGAGGGAGACAGAAGGAGGGAAGAAGATTCCATGGCAAATGTTGGTGGAATTTTGAATTTAGTCTGAGGTGGCAGTTGTCATGGAGAATGTCTTATAATTTCAGTAAGATATGTGAATATTGTGTGCCTCTAAAATTATGATATTTATACTAAAGTAAGATGTATAAACTATGGATAAGCGTCCTGTCTCAAACAGGTTATCTTTGTAGGCAGAAAAGATTTCTTGGGCATCCTGGACAAGTGTTCTAGGCTCCTGCTGTGAAGGAATCTGGCCAATAATTGGCGAAGTCACAGATGTAACTTCCTCGTGCCTCACTAGTGATAGTACAGTGTTGGCAACAGGAGATGATTTTGGATTTGTGAAGCTCTTCCGATACCCTGCCAAAGTAAGTTAATACACACAGTGAGTTGTACAAACATTCAGTGACAAAGTTTGTCCTGCTAATTTGATATTTAGAAACATGATAACTGAGGGTAAATGCAATCTTGTATTGTTAGTCTCAAGAAACTACAGCTATCTAGTTTGTATATGCAAATAAGCTTTACCATGAACAAGGCCAGGCATAGACAATCTCAGCAGGGTCAAGGGCTATTATCAGATTTGCTGGCAAGTCGAGGGCTGCACTCCCAGTGTTGTTGTTTAGTCGTTAAGTCATGTCCAACTGTTCGTGACCCCATGGACCAGAGCGCACCAGGCCCTCCTGTCTTCCACTGCCTCCTGGAGTTTGGTCAAATTCATGTTGGCCGCGTCAAGGACACTGTCCATCCATCTCATCCTCTGTCATCCCCTTTTTCTCTTACCTTCACACTTTCCCAACATCAGGGTCTTTTCCAGGGAGTCTTTTCTTCTCATGAGATGGCCAGAGTGCTGGAGCCTCAGCTTCAGAATCTGTCCTTCCACTGAGCACTCAGGATTGATTTCTTTTAAAATGGATAGGTTTGTTCTCCTTGCAGTTCAAGGGACTCTCAAGAGTCTCCTCCAGCACCACAATTCAAAAGCATCAATTCTTTGGCGGTCAGCCCTCTTTATGGTCCAGCTCTCACTTCCATACATCACTACTGGAAAAACCATAGCTTTGACTATTCGGACTTTTGTTGGCAAGGTGATGTCTCTGCTTTTTAAGATGCTTTCTGGGTTTGTCATTGATTTCCTCCCAAGAAGCAGGTGTGTTTTAATTTCGTGACTGCTGTCACCATCTGCAGTGATCATGGAGCCCAAGAAGGTAAAATCTTTCACTGCCTCCATATCTCCCCCTTCTTTTTGCCAGGAGGTGATGGGACCAGTGGCCATGATCTTAGTTTTTTTGATGTTGAGCTTCAGACCATTTTTGCGCTCTCCTCTTTCACCCTCATTAAGAAGTTCTTTAATTCCTCCTCACTTTCTGCCATCAGTGGTATCATCTGCATATCTGAGGTTATTGATATTTCTTCCAGCAATCTTAATTCCAGTTTGGGATTCATCCAGTCCAGCCTTTTGCATGATGTATTCTGCATATAAGTTAAATAAGCAGGGAGACAATATGCAGCCTTGTCATACTCTTGTGTTGTTGGAAAAGATTGTTTGTGATGACCAGCTTGTTTTCTTGTCAAAACTCTATTAGCCTTTGAACTCCAAGGCCAAACTTCCTGTTGTTCCTTTTATCTCTTGACTCCCTACTTTAGCATTCTAATCCCCTATAATGAGAAGAACATCTTTCTTTGGTGTCAATTCTAGAAGGTGTTGAAAGTTTTCATAGAAATGGTCTATTTCAGCCTCTTCAGCATTGGTGGTTGGTGCATATACAGTGGTGCCCTGCATTACGACCCCGCATGATGATGAAATAGCTTGACAATGACTTTTTTGTAATCGCTATAGCGATCTCAAAACGATGGTTCCTATGGGTTTTTTTCGCTTTACGTTGATTAGGTCCCTGCTTTGCGAACCGTTTGTTCGCAAAACGATGATTTTTCCCTTCGCAAAATGGCTTCCCTCCCTTTGCAAAATGGCTGTTTTCCGGAGAGAAGCTTCACAAAACAGCGATTCTAAGCAGCTGATTGGCGGTTCTCTATGGGCAATCTACACTGGACGATGAGGTATTTCCCCATTGGAACGCATTAACTGGTTTTCAGTGTATTCCAAAGGGTTGTGTTGTTTTTGTTGCATGACGGCAATTTTGCTGTACAGTGATTTTGACAGAACGGATTATCGTCGTCATGCGGGGCATCACTGTACTTGGATTATTGTGATGTTGAAAGGTCTGCTTTTGATTCGTATTGAAATCATTCTATCATTTTTGAGATTGTATCCCATTACAGCTTTTCCCACTCTTTTGCTGACTATGAGGGTTACTCCATTTCTTCAATGGGATTCTTGCCTGCAATAGTAGATATGATAATTGTCTGCAGTGAATTCACACATTCCCATCCATTTTAGTTCATTGACGTGCAGGATGGTCAATGTTTATTCTTGCCATCTCCTGTTTGATCACCTCCAGCTTCCCAAGGTTCATAGAGCTTACATTCCAGGTTCCTATGCAGTATTTTTCTTTGTAGCATCGAACTTTCCTTTCACTTCCAGGCACGTCCACAGCTGAGCGTCCTTTCAGCTTTGGCCCAGCCACTTCATTAGCTCTGGAGCTACTTGTACTTTTCCTCCGCTCTTCCTCAGTAACATGTTGGACGCCTTCCGACCTGAGGGGCTCATCTTCCAGCGTCATATCTTTTAGCCTTTTGTTTCTGTCCATGGAGTTTTCTTGGCAAAGATACTGGAGTGGCTTGCCAGTTCCTCCTCCAGGTGGATCCACTATGACCTGTCCGTCTTGGGTGTCCCTGCCCATAGCTTCTATGAATGACTCAAGCCCCTTTGCCACAGCAAGGCAGCAATCCATGAAGGGGACACTCCCAGTGAGGAAGGGCTAAAAAAGATGTGGTCAGAGAAGCTAATTGATAATTCAATTTGTAATTGCTATTTTAAAGGTTAAAGGTAAAGGTAAAGGTAAAGGTTCTCAGAGAAGCTAATTGATAATTCAGTTTGTAATTGCTATTTTAAAGGTTACTACAATTAATTTTTGTTAATGAAGATGGGTTTGACACAAAATATTCCTAAACACTGCTTCCTTCACCTTAACCATTTATAAGGAAAGCTGGTGTGAGGGCTCAACTTCTGGCTCCTTTCTTCGTTAAAATATGTAACTTTGAAACAGGTGTAACATTTATTGGTATATTTAACAAATAACCAGCGTCTGCAAACTGAGTCCAATGTTTATCTCGTTCCGACAACAGGTCAGCAAGGGGCTTCCCATCTTCATTCATAAACGGGTTTCCTTCACCCGACATCCAAAGTCCAGGCCAGTCCAAAGATAGGTTTGGGTTTAGCATTGATCCTACCTCACCCTCCAACAGGGGGACAGTGTCATCATTCCGGTGGTCCACCCACAAGGGGTCTAGGGTGGGTGTGACCATCTGCCAGGGTCCTCCTGGTATCTCCTCATCCTCATTTCTCTCACCCTCCATTCGAGCCTTTCTCTTCTTTGTTTTCTCCTTCTCCTCTCTCAACCTCCTTCTCCACTTCCAGGCTTCAGCCTTTCCCCAAAATGAGAGTCGTGGTGGTATTTCCTTCCTCCTCCAGTAGTCTGCCTCCTCCTTGGGGACCTTTAGTCTCTCCCACTTTCTGGTGCAGAGGTCCTCCATCCAGATCCATTCCCAGCCTGGGAGAATCCTCCCTCTTCCTTCTATCTGCTGCTCCTGTCTCTATCTCCACCCTCGGCTTCCGCTCTATTCCTGCCGTTTATCCCCGTTTTTTCTAACTGCCAACTTTCGTATTCCCCTCTCTACTTTTCCTGGGTCTGTCTCCGGCTGCTCCGTTTTCTGAGGGGGAGAGACGGCACTCCTGCAAGAGGTCTCACAGCTGGAGCCAGGCAACATGAAATATTTTCTTCCATTGCTATTTCTCTCCATGTTTCAGTTATGAGCATTCAGATTGCAGTGGATGTTGCAGTGGATTTCACAACACTCTTTCTTCCTAAAGTGATGAAGAAATATCTGGGACTTGTTTTACTTTTCATTGGAAGTCTTTAACCTTTCACCACTCAGTATTTGTGCTTAATTTCTACAGAAGGAGTCCATGTATACATTGTATACACACTTCATCATATCTCTGCATCTGAGCAGTGGTGGGTTAGAAATGTTTGTTTGTTTGTTTATTTGTATCCTACCCATCTAGATCAAAGTCTACTCTGGGTGGCTAAGATAGGGCTTAAGAGTAATTTTGATATTGAAGTAGGAGCTGTAATATCTACTGTGGATGTGGAGGTTTCAAAATCTATAACCTCTTGGCTATTATGTTTTGTTGAGTTTCAACTGAGGGTAAGCAAGCACGCCACACAATTTCTGTAAATCTGCATGTTTTTGGCTTTAATTTGACCCCTAGGTTTTTTTCTTTGCGCTCAAAGAATCCTGGGATACCATTCAGTGGTAAATTCATGTCTCTTGATTTGCTTCACAAATAGAGACATTGGTGCCATATAGATATAATACTATAATATTGTACTATTATATAGATACTTCATTTATTGAATTTTGAGTCAAACCTTTTTACATATTTTATATTTAGGGAAAATATGGGAAGTTCAAGAGATACGTGGCTCATAGTACACATGTCACTAATGTTCGTTGGACTTATGACGACAGTTTATTAGTCACTGTTGGAGGTGGAGATACATCTTTAATGCTGTGGAGCCATGAGGTGGAGGGTCATCGAGAAAGCAGGCAATGTGACAGTGAAGAATCTGACCTTGATTCTGAGGAAGATGGGGGTAAGTAACCATATTAAGACAAACCCTTTTTAAGGAAGAGCTACTACTTTCCTGTGATATCTGCCATTGTGTAAATGTTTTAAGTGTAACTTTCTTGGTGTCACTTTCCATTGATAACTCCCAAGTTCCTCCTGAATTTAATATTGAAAGTACCAATTTAGTGGTTTGAATGTACTTCAAAATCATAAGCCAGCTGTATTTTGGGCAACTTAGTTGTGTACATTGAATCCAAATATCTGTGAACAAAAGCTCCACTCAGGGAATGTATCTGCTCATTAAATCAGGGAAGTGATTTTTTATGGATTGCCCTTTGTAGCTGCTCATGTCCCCAATGATCTGTTAGATCAGTGGTCCCCAACCTTGGGCCTCCAGATGTTCTTGGACTTCACCTCCCAGAAATCCTGGCCAGCAGAGGTGATGGTAAAGGCTTCTGAGAGTTGTAGTCCAAGAACATCTGGAGGCCCAAGGTTGGGGACCACTGTGTTAGATGACTATCCAGCTTAATGGGCAGGGGGCAATGTGTGGCCTGCATAATTAACTTGTAAGCCACTCAGAGAGTGCTTTACGTGCTATGGGGCAGTATATATGCAGCATGGTTTGCTTTTTGCTATGGAGAGTTGGAAAAAAATTTAGAGCAGTCTGGAGGGTGGCACAGGAGTATTTTGGAAAAATGCATTGTGTCACCCTTTCAGAGAAGAGAAACATCTGCCAGATAACAGAGATCAGAAGGATTCTTTCAATTTTTAAAGATCTCCACTGAATTTAACTCACTGTATTACTGTCACTTCTAATATGGAAGAACAACACATACATAAATAAAATAACATGAAAATAATAATTCATCTATTCCTTAATTCCAATCATTCTTGTGGTTATAAATATTTTACTAGGCTATGACAGTGATGTCACAAGAGAAAATGAAATTAATTACACCATCAAAGCCTTATCAACCAACATCAGACCAATGTTTGGAATCAAGCCTCATCTGCAACAAAAGGAGCCTTCCATTGATGAAAGGTAACTTTTGAACTTTGGGAAGAAAAGTGCAGTTTTGTGGTAAAAGAAATATAGAGTGCAAGGCGTATATAAAAGAGGCTGACAGTTTGTTTTTATTTTGACATCAAATGGTTCACCTTGATAATGCTTCCATTTCATTTTGCATGGGCCAAGATCTACCTTGATCTAGGCGGTGGCATATGTAGCAATGAATAGTGCTCGTACTACTGTGCATTTGCAGTGGGATAAATTTAGACTCTGAACTTAATGATCCTGTGTTAGGAGGAGTGTTCTTTTACAGGCATTGCTTCCCTTTAAAATTTGGCAAACCAACTCATGTTTGGCACTGTGTTTGGCATCCCTCCTGTTCTGTTTAGCAGTACCCTCCTTTTCTGCTGACATCACTGACATGTTTTATCAATGGTAATGATTACAGCTGTCATCTATTGTGGGGATGGAGTGCCTGGAATAATAAAAGTTATACAGTGGACCCTCTACTTACGGAATTAATCCATATTGGAATAGTGTCTGCAAGTTGAAAAGTCTGTAGGTCGAATCTCCATTGACCTACAATGCATTGAAAACCGATTAATCCCATAACCGGTGGTTTTTATTCTATTGAAGTTATACATGCAGCCAGGCTGATTAGTGCTGAGTTGATGGCACCAATATTCTGTTTTATCATGTATGTGAAACCCTAGGGGCACATTTCCTGAACTGTGCATGTGGAACAGAATGTTGAATGGTACAAATTATGGCAAGATTGGAAACACATAAAGGATGGAGCTTTGAGAAGGTCTTATAAGCTGAAACATGGACATAGACCAAATAACTGTAGAACAGGATGCAGTTTTGATCATAGGCAAAGATTTATACAAAGAAAGGTGGAGCTGATGGTGCTGTTGTTATGATCAGAAGCAATTATGTGTTTGTTTTTAACATGTTTATTTGAAGATAGAATTTTATAACCTACAGAAATATTTTACTTTATATATTCTCAGATTATTTTAGAAGTGTTTGCATGGGGTACCTGAGTTCTTATGTTTCATTTTATATGCATAATTCCAGAACATAAAATATGTTAATTATGAGCAACTTGTCATTTCACATTTTAAACTGTGGTTTAAATATCTAAACATAAAATATGTAAGTTTTCTCGGTGTATCTGAAGGGTGTACATATGAAAAATTTGAACACATTAACCTGAAATAATCAAGAACTGAGAAGGCTGTGCTTCCAAGTAGTTCATAAGTACACACATCAATGTTTACACATAAATGCCCTTCAGACTTCATGCATGTATTTGCATGCTGGTGCTATTTAATCTAAGCATCAGTATAAACTGAGAAGCAAATCTGATATAAATCCTTCTCAAAATGAAAGACATAGCTTGTATTTGTTAATAATGGTTTAAGTTTTCATCCTGGCAATATCTCCATGAATCTTATTGATTTAGTTTTGAACAGCAATGTGTTAAAATGTTCTGATAGTCAAATAAATCATAATTGGATAGAATCATAATTAAAGTAAAACATTTTATCCATTGAATTAATTTTAATTTTCTTTACCCTAGACTTATGATACACAATTTTCATATTTTAATATTCCTGCTTAATTTTTATGCTTTTCATGAAGGCAAGGAGTTGTGAGGTGAGTACACTGACTATATATTACTCATTATAAAGTGTATCTCAGTGTGGATCTCATTGCAAAACATTTAACTTAGGGAAATTACAAGAAGTGCATCATAGAGCTAAGAAGAGAAATCTCTGGTTTGCAAACCAGACATCATTCATAAAGATCCTCTCAGGTCCACAAACTCTTTGTTGAAAGAGGGGTTTGCCTACTAATGCAGTATGACTTCTTGCGGAGTGGAGTGACCAGGAAGCCAGTCCACCTTACAAAGCCGAAACTGTTTCTCACATGTATTCTAAGGTAAACTGTAGTGATAGACATGTTCTTTCCCTTGTTATGAAGATCCTGTAGAATTATCCCAGTCAGGTCCCTTTGAGTGTAAAATTGGCAGGCTGTTTTAAATCTCAACATTAGAACCAATAGAACTTGAAGGAGGACCGGGGAAGAAGCATATATGTAATGACTTAGGAATGCTTGTAAATGTTTGATTACATGTATGTACCTTTAATTCTAAAAGAAGCATGCATAGGAATGCACTTGAGGTGAGGCAGATTTAATGCCTTGCTTACTATGCACTGAATGCACTGATTTGGATTCAAGGTTGGTTGACCATAAGTGAAACATATTTTCAGTTTTCCGAATCATTGTCTTTATTTTAGATGTGGCTTGTTTTATTCTGTGTTGACTTTAGATAGGGGTTGTTATATTTTGAACTGCTACAAACGTTGGCCTGATTTGCATTTAAAGTTCGAAACATTCCAAAACACCAGGCAGAACTTCTCTTCGTTGATTTTAAAAATTGTGGATCAGATATATTGATCTAAAAGATAATATGGTTGGCTGACTTTGCCAGTAAAGTTTGGTATTTTGAACAGGCCTTGGATTCGATGCTCAATTATCACTTAAAGCTTATGTGATTTGTATGTTATTGTATCATTAGCAAACCGTCAAGAGTTCTCTGGCTAATATACATATATTCTGTTCTCTGGCTAATATACATAATATATGTACAAACATCAAAATTAACCAAAACTTTGTAGATGTTTAATGTATTTAAGTTCAGGATTAGATTGTCCTTTAGGGATTGTTTGAAGGGAATTTATAAAATAGTATGAATGCAAAGTAGACTGGGGTCATCGAGATTCCATGTGAAGCCTTGTATCTGGACGGTATCCCAACAGGGATATGAAAAAACTTCATCCTTGCTAGTTGAGGAGCAAATCCTGAAGTATTTGTCAAACTAGTTGCAGCCTAAAGTTGCTTACACAGGAATAACTAAATGGTGTCTCTCTTGAAATGGAAATGGACAATATTTAGTTTCTTCACCAAAGTATCTATGACAGTGATGGAAAATGTACCTACGTAGTAGAGAAACAAACAGAATAGTGCAGCTAACTAATTTTATAGCTTGGTCTTTGGTAGGCTTTAGATGGACAAAAGTATTTTCTTATTTATGAAGCACACAACCAATATTTCTTTTCACCCCTCCCAGCTGTTTACAACTATTTCTATACCCATGAGCAAAAATTCACCACATATAACTGTTTCCAAATCTGGGTTTTAAAAAAATGCTGAGTAGTAGAGTAGGACACCTCCCTCCCACCCATATCTGATGGGGATTGGTGATTTCCATGGATAGGGAAAACCACGGATAATAGTGAACAACACAGCAAATTATTTTCACATGCATTACCATAACTGGCCACTAGAGCAAGGGTCTCCATGCTATGGCCCATGGGCCACATGCAGTCCACCTTGCCGTATTATCTGGCCTGTTCCCTTCAGCCCGGGTGGCGGGCACATGTGCGTGGGGCAAGCAGGGTGGTGCGTTCATGCAGGTATCCATGCGTGTGGGCAGGGAGTATTTGTGGGGGGGAGGCGTGTGGGCGGGTGTGGGCATGCAGGCATGCATATGGCCACGTGTACACATGGGTGCATGAATGTTCCTGTTCTTTCAGCCCTCAAAAATGTTTCAAATATCCAGTGTGGCCCTCACGGTCAGACGTTTGGAGACCCCTGGTCTAGAACATGCCAGAGACTATGCTGTGTATTCTGTACTAACAAATATTCATAGCGTGGTTTATAGCTCCTTCTAGGGGCCCATTCCAGGAATACATGTGATAATGGGCATTTCTTGGATGTTTTTTCTTTTAATATTTTTAATATTTTCAGATGGAGGATAAGTGAATCAGTGCATACTCATCCCGTGGATAAGGAGGTCCTACTGTATGTGTAGTTTCACATATTAAACTTAGATTGGAGCATTATTGTGATTTCAGGAATAAAATGGAGTTTGCTTCTACTGCTTTACTGCTAAACTTATTTACTTGGAAATAAGTGTCTTTTTTGTTTGAAAGTTTTATATAATGTCATTATGACAAGTGGCCTACTGTTCACTGCCCCAGTCACGTTCCTCTTTGTGAGTGGTCTCCAGAGATCTTAGAGCACTGGGGCTCTGAACTTGATGTCTGAGGCTCAGAGTTACAGCTGCAGGACTTCTGAGATGTGGTTTTAGATTGTGATTTTTTTCTTCATATGTATTTGCACATGTGCAAGCAACGTGTGTGTGCGTGCACAGACACGTACACACACAAGCACATGTTACAGAAAGCTAGTTTAATGGCAATATCAGAACACAGGTAGGGCATATACAATTTCCTACATACATTACTGTAATTAGTCACTGACTATCAAATAATCTTTCCAGACTATTCCACTTTCATAATCCGCAAGATACAGTAAATAGGTTTCTGAAGTTACGACCCCTGCTATAATGTAATGAATCATTTTGAGGATGCTGGAGTTTGTGTTGTTATTCTGTAGTCCATGTGCTGGGCAGGCTGCTTTAGTGTTGCTGAGTGAGGTGATGCTAAACTCCTCCTAGTGACCACAATCCGGATCATTGCTTTCAAGCCACCATTAACCGCACACAAGGAGTGACAGCTGGCATATCTTTATCTAGACACAATATGTGGACCACTTATAGTTGTCACATATGATACTGTTGTGGTAGATATTAGTATCTTTACCAAAAAATATGTTCTGAGAAGGAAAAAAAAGGAAAAACCTATCAATTTCTCTGCACTTTGATAGTGCTATTGGAGATCAGCGCATATATATATAAAATACCTTTACTGCTATAAAACATTTTAGTTTTTCTGATCTTTAAATATTTATTTAAAACATTTATTTCAGTGGGTCAGTATTTCGTCAAACTGGAATAAATAATCACTTTCTTTTTCCTATCTGCTGCTGAAAAGAGGTTCCAGGTAATGCTTTTATTTTGCTACTGCCTATTCCATATTTCACCACCATCCTCATTGCCACACAAAACTGTCTGTCCCATTGCTGTTGCTAATAAATGTATCCCAGATTCAACCAATGCTCACCATACTACTTTCCAATAAATGTGAACACTTCCCTCTCTTGAGAATTTCATGGATTTTTGAAAAAAATATAATTTTAAAAATGCTGACTGCCCCTATGAAGTTCAGTGTCCTAAGGACACCTGTCACATGATGGAATTTTATGGATATTTCTTCTGTGGCACTAATTAATTGTGAGAGAAGCGTTTAGTCCAAGATAAAAATAATAACAGTTGCTGAAGAAACTGACAAAGTTTTGCTTGCTGGTGGCTTTGTTACATGCTTAATAATGCCTCTGTGTTAAGGTATTTATATATTTAGTAATATCTCTTTCCAGTAGGAATGGATGGTGGCAATTTAATTCCCTTGTATGGTGGGTAGCCCCATTTTCCCAGACAGGCTCCAATTAGGACACAAAGTCTTGGTTAATCTTTCATCACATAGGGCTTTCTGTTAGATTTTCCCCTCTTTCTTTTTATTTTCATTCTTTTCTTGCCCTCATCCAATACATCAGAAAAAAAAAAGTTTTGTAATTTGGTTGCCCTCATCCTTTTTAGCTTTGGCTGGAGGTTCTATTGCAGGAGAAAGAATAAATATTGGAGAGCAGTGTATAGGTAGTTGTTGTCCTGGCTGCTTCATTCCTTACCTGTTCTGTCAGCCCTTCACTGTTGCACAGTAATCGGGTTGCATTTATGACCTTGTGTAGCAGTGCACTGGGAGAGTGTATCTCCCAGTCCCTATTTTTTAGCAGTTCCCTTTAGCAGCCTTCTGTGGATGAATTGAGGTGCTGTGGCAGGCATCTACATTCTTGTTGTATCTTTTTCTCAGGGTGCCACTAGAAGAAGCTAAAGCAGTCAATCTTGCCAGTGGAAGAAAAGTCATTGGGTGCTGCATTTTCTTGTCCTTGGGCTTCTTGTCCTTTGGGCAAAGAGCAACATAACATTCCTTCTGCCCCCTCACCTTTGCCTTTTCTTCAGGGTCAGGTAAACAGGATGAAGAGAGCTCAAAAGTTTTTCCCCACACATGCAATTGCATCTACCTCTTTGAGAGAGGTGAACCACCTCTTTAACAGCTACCCAGGTACAGTGCAGACACAGGGAGATATATTAGCAGCTGATATTTCAGAGTTTCCTAACACTGTAATAACTAGCAAGGAACTGTTAGATATCTGTTAGTGCTGGGAATTTAGGCATGTCTATGCTGTCCTTTCCTGATTCTCAAGCGAAATGCCAGTCCTCAAATTCTGTCCATGGGTAAGGAGATTCTGTAACAGGAGATACAGACGGTACAGACTGTTGGTCATATAAGAGGATAAAAACTCTCATTACAACAAATCCTATTCACTTTTATCATAAGGGAAAGAAGTATAAGAAGTATAGCCACTCCATGGGCTGCTCTAGGCTGTAGCATCACAAAAGGTAGCTGAGATCTCATAGCCTATTTTGTTGCCTCATGCGGCAGTGCCATCTTGTTAGATTCTAGCTGCTACAGGAAGAGACCCCATGGAAAGCAGCTGTATTCCACTTGAGCCAGTTTAGCAAATAGGGGCTTCCAGTTGAGAAGGAGCTCTTGCCTTTGTGACTAGAAACAGGATATCAAGGAAACTGAAGTCATCTTGATTTCACTGTCAATGTCATGACCCCACCAGTCCTCAGAGTATGAAGCTGAAGAGGACCTCCATGATCACCTTCATATTCACTAGAAGCCCTGTTTTACTAGAATGTCATCCAACATGAGCCAGATGGAAAATGGGGATTTGATGGTGTGCCATTCACCCTCCAGTCTCTTGCTTGACCGTCAAGCCTCAGAGCACATGAAGGCAAACACTCCCCTCTTTTGTACTGCTGCCACCAGGTGATCTTAAAATCACCCTTGATTCAGGAAGATTCAGGTCCACACTTCAAGGTCTTTTAAATATAACTTTTGTTTACTGATCACAGTTATTGATAGTGATTCATGGATGTCTTCTTTAAATCAATTTATTTTTAACAACAATCTTCTATCTAATAATACACTGCTAACTCTAATCACACCTCAGAATTCCCCAAACTCGACAATCTATCCCCTTCTCTCACACTCCACTCTTACTTACTCTGTTACTCTTACTGACTGACTCTGACTCTTTGATTCCACCTCTTATAGCATCTCTCCTTGGCTCCGCCTCTCAGCAACATGAATATGCATGAACCATTACATAACAAAGCATGAACTATTGACCTAATAAAAGGGGAACACTACACATGGCATTACAGCTAGCAATTGTGACCATAGTAGCAGGCAAAATACAGGTGAATATACGTAGACAGAGCAGTCTGGGAGAGGGACAAACATTACATTAGGCTCATGTTCCATTAGAGAAATATGCCCGGTTAGTGCATTGGAACTTTACTTAACACGTTGAGGTGATGCACAGGGTTACTTGTTCTGCCACAGGGATAGTACCCCGCTAACAAAATTCAAATTGTGGAAGGTCACAAGCACAGCTTTGGGACTAGTTGGCTTGGAAGGATGGTGTTTTGGTACTCATTCATTCCGCATTGGGACCACATCTACTGCAGCTTCGTTAGGTTATAGCCCAGAGCAGATTAAGAAGGTTGGGAGATGGTCATCCAACCTGTTTGTGATATATTGCAGTTGTAGGTTGGCGCCTTGCTCTTTGTGTTTTGTTCTGTTTCAGGAGTTGACCGGTCCAAACAATGACTGCGAATCTGGCTTGTGGGCCTCAGCTATATTTACTGGGCAGGTTTTCATGCTGCCAGGTCAGCTTGGGGCTGTTATTTGGGGCTTGGAGCCTCTGCCCAACTGTATTGGAAAGGGCAGCAAGGCATGCATTGGAAGGAGTTCAATGGAGCTGTCGCTTCAGATTTCGATGTGCCCCCTAACATACTATTGATCCATTTGGGTCGAAATGACTTGGCCAATAGGAGTGGCAAGTCATTCTTTAGTTTTTTTGATGTTAAGTGTGAGATGATTTTCTTTACACCAAAGTATCAACCTTTGTACTTCCTTTCTATAAGCAGACTCATTGTTCTTATTTATGAGCCCCACCACTGTCGTATCATCTGCAAATTTAATAATTGCATTGGTGTTATACAGTGGGGTGCAATCATGTGTGTACAGGGAATAGAGGAAGGGACTTAGCACACAGCCCTGGGGAGCTCCTGTACTTAGTACCAGGGTAGAAGAATGGTGAGATCCCATCCTTACTGACTGTGGCCTATCTGTCAGAAAATCCTTTATCCACATGCAGATCTCCTGAGGTAATCCCAGGTTGATCATTTTAAAAAACAACCTATTTGGTAGAATGGTATTAAAAGCAGAGCTATAATCCACAAACAACAGCCTCGCATAAGTTCCCTGATGTTCTAAGTCGCTCAGTACAGTATGGAGTACAATGGACACAGCATCGTCAGTAGATTTATTTTTCCTGTATGCAAATTGCCATGGGTCCAAAGAAGGTGGAAGACTAGCCTTAATGTAATCCAGCACCAATCTCTCAAAACATTTCATAACAACAGATGTTAAATTTTGTTACATAACAAAACATGAACCATTGACCTAATAAATGGGGAACGCTACAGACGGCAAGGCCAGTCACCTTTTATATATCATAAGACATACACTGGGATTTTAATGCATATAAACTGCAAATCTGCATCTATTCTGTTAGCCTAATTGAGGCTTTTAAAATACTATTGTTAAACAACTGGGGAGTCTGGTTGATATCCAGCAAATCATTCTGAGACCTATCAGTAGACTTCTGCATGCCTTATTTGAATGAATTAAGAAGGTTTTTCCTCATGAGCCTAAATATTCTATGGCATCTTTTCTTGGTTCCTTTAATAGGATTTTCTCCACAGACTCACTGCTGAGTCAAGCCAGTCCTTACATCTATGGGCCACATGGTTAACAGATTTGCTCTCATCATAGATCACTCTAAGATGCTTTCAGTGGATACAACTCCAGTGTTGATTTGCTTAACCACATTTCAGGTTATAGAGGACAATAGCAGACCCAGCAATACATGGGACGAATGCATTTTGTCAACCCTGAAGAAAAGCATTGAGGACTACCCATTTGAACATGCAATGTTAACTTAGTTTTTGCTATAGTTACTTGTTCTTGATTGGACAAATTGGCAGTTTCAAAGCCAAACATACCAAAATCCTTGAAGGATAGACATCACAGTATATTTGTGTCAGCATCTCTCCTTGAAAAAATTATCCTTGTACATGTTCTAGGTTAGTACCATGGCTGTGGCTGGCTGGCAGTGCAGTAAGACTTACAATGTGCTTTTAACTTTAAAATGTTAACCTTAGTCAGAATTGTCCTTGGGACCCAGGACAGTTGAGAGCAGGAGGAAAACTATTTGGCATTTGTGTTTGTAGAAAAAAAAAGACAAGAAACAAAATCTGTCATCTGAAAAAAATAAAGGGTAGTTCAGTCACATCAGTCTAGGGTCAAGAGTTTGTACCAGTTGCAAATCTAAGTAACAGGGCCCTAGTCGATCTTGTAGACCTTATTGATGAATGATGGAGGAATTTATCTACAAAGGATTCGCCTCGTTGTAACAAATGCTATCAGACTGTCTTTTGTGGCAGATTCTTGCATCACTGTTAAGAACTAGGCTTTAGGATTTGCCAAAGATTTCCCTAGAACAAAATCAAAGCTATACAAATACTTTGACATTGTTTTAGAGATGGGAGTAACCAAGCTGTAACCAAGGAACCTGAGATATTCCAGAGTCTATTCTCTACCCGCCTCCCAAAAAGGATTAAAGATATCAGGCCAGTCTTGAATCTAAAGTGGCTAGAGAGCCACTTCAAAATGGAAAAGAGCCCTTCAAAAAGGAAAATTTGATGGCTATAATATCAGCCATCAAACACAGATAGTAGCCATGGCAG